TATTTAAAATTTTTAATTAATTTTTATTAAAGAAAATAGACCAAGTTGCCCCGCTTTCAGTTTAAAATTATGAATTAAATATAACAATATTTTGCACAATTTTATAGCATACTTTTTGACATAATTTTAATTAATTTTAATTCAAATTCAATAAAGAAAGCTCTTTTATATCATTTTTTTCTAGATTGACACTTTTAATTCTACTGACTAAAATTATAATACCCTCCCCTAAATAGATTTCTTAATAAATTATAAATTTTTACTTGGTAAATCTTATTTATTTTTAAATAAATAAATTCCCCTTCTTACCAAATCTCCAAATATTCTTTTCAGATAATTTCAGAACTCAAAAAACCCAAAACTATTCCATTCTTTTGGCCCAAACTATTGTACCCTCTTTGGGAAAGAGCATAAAAAGAGGCTCGCTGTCATGATTTTCGATTTACACACACACACACACAAACGTATATGGAAAAACAATGAGTGTATTGGGAAAATGAAATAAAATAAAATAAAATGCTAGGCAAACAACAAGCGGCGGGCCAAAGTGATTATATAAAAACCGTTACCAGCCAAAGCCGCGGACAAAAAAACAAAAAAAAAAACGAAAATAAAAATAAAAAACAACGAGAAAAAGAACGAGAAAAAGGAAAAACAGAAAATAATGCCAAAGAACGATTTCGATTTATCAGCAAAACGGAACGCGTTTTTATCTCGCTGCTCAATTGATTTACATAATCAACGAAATCGCTTTTGCCACCCCGCCACCCCATCAACCCACCACCCCTTTTTCCCCACCCCATCCTTTAGGGGGACAGTTGCCTTGTCTCTCTCTGTGCATTTAATTAAACGCTGATTAAGTTTTATTCAATGGAGCCCCGGCGACTAGTAGATATAATATAGTATAGTACAATGGGGCAGGAACCAATGGAATATGTAGTATGTTTGTACATTGTATATATAGTATGTTTGTTTGTATATACATATACATATAGATTCGTAGATGGTTCATTGATATGGGACAACGTGTTCGAATCGAGTCGCTTTTGTAAACGTGAATAATTTAATAACGTTCTCATTAAGATAATGAAATTAGTTCAAATATAGACGCCAGCCAGATAATACAAGCTGTTTGATTAGATGGAGGTCTATAGTATATATATACATATGTATTAACTTTTATATATGTTTATATATATTTTTGTGTATTTTAATATTAATTATAATTATGTAAAAACCTTAGGTATATTGCCAAAGAGCTGTATAACTAGAAGATTTGCTATTAATTCTCTAAAAAAATTTACAAGATTATAGCAAAACCTCTTAAGCTTAAGATCTATTTTTTATATTTTTAAGATATTTAAATATATATCTAAAATATATTTTTTTATATTTTTAATATATTTAAATATATATTTAAATTATGAAAATATATTTAAAATATATATGTTTATGAGACATACATAAACCTTTTTATCTCTGCAAGTGTACTTTATTCTTATCTCATTTCTAACTAAGAAAAATCTCAATATTTCTACTTAAATAAATTTACTTACATTCTAACACTTTAACTTTTTTAAATTTAGAACCCAACAAAACCAGATTACCTTATTTATTCTTTGACCTCCTTTTTAATAAAACAATTGTGCCAGCCTGAGGGCAATCAACTGATAAAAATTAACCAAGATTAAATCCAAGTGGTGGTCATGACTCTCCATCAAAGAACTTTTAAGGCAGCTTAAGGTTAAAGTATAACGACTAATCCTAAAATACAACCTAAAAATATATATATAATTTGCCTTTGAACTGAGGGATTAGAACTCATTCAGTTGGAAATAGGAAGCATAAATCAGGTGAACCTTTTTGAATTTAATTATGAATGTAATTCAAATTCAAATTGATACTTTAAGCGGATTATATATACCATTTCCAATGAACATATATTCCAATTAAGGAATAAATTAGCCAGCAACACATGTAAATTAATAAAATATAAGCAAAAAAACAAACACGAATATAATATTTACTTAAAATTAAGTTGGCAAAATTCGATTTGCATATTAAACCAGTTTACTAATCAGAAGTGAGATATATAAATATGCAACGCCAGCTCAGAGCGTGTGAACCGAACTTTATTTTTTGTCAGTGAACTAGAAAAAGTTAACTTTGAGAATATACATATATTTCATTCCTGCTGTAAGTAACTGGAAAAGCTTAACTGGACCAACAGAAAAAAATATATTCAAGGGAAAGGGAAAAAACCCAGTCGCAGATAGATAAAGATGGAGAGAACCACAGCTGGGGCCATAAATCAGGGGAAAAATTGTTGCTGAAGGAGGAAAACTTGCCCAGCCGAACAGAAGGTGGGAAAACTGTTGAATTATTTCCCACAGGACATACAACACCGGCACACGCACACCCACAGGCACACGCACACAGCCCGTAAAGAAAATTTGTTACATTTTCACACTCTAAGCCAAAGCCGACCAAAACAATAAACTGCCAAATTCGCATAAAATATTTTGTAGGAATTAAAACAGAAGCATATCGAATGGCCCGGCTCAACTCGACTCCCAGCTCCGGGGATCAGAAGGTAACCTCAAGGAACCCATAAATTTCTGAAGAGAACCCGAGAAAATCTCCCAAGGAAAACAAAAATAGAAAATGTGTCAATGCAAACAGTTGAGGCAAGAACAACTTTCAGCCCAGGGTCTACACTTTGTTGTTGTAATTTTTCTCTTGTTATTTGTTGTTGTTTTTGGCCATGGATCGTGGACCAAGTGAATCTGGGCCATAAAAGTGCAAAATGCTTTCCACTCGGCTGGCTGGAGACCCTGTTGTTAGTGCTTACCTCACCGAAATCTCCGCGCATTCCCACCACATGCGATGCACTCGTTAAGAGCAGAGAACCAGGATGACACTGGGAGAAATGGGGTGTTGTTTACACTTTTGATAGAATTATTTTTGAATTTTATTAGATATTTTAAAGACAGATTAGGCTTAATTGTATTGGAAACAGCCTTAAAATATTAGATAAAATGTATTTATTTTATTTTTTTATTTTTATAATTAACAAATTATTAAATTTTTTTAATTTAAGAATTTATTTTCGGTTTTTTCTTATATTTTATTTTATATTTAGCTTGCAAAGCAATGAAGAAGTTATTTCCTATTCTATAAATGGGATATATTTTTGTGCAGCATCAACAACCGTGACGATCTAGACATCTAAACTTTTTTTTTAAATTATATAATTAATTATAATAAAATATTAACAATTTTTTCTACATTTTCGAATTGTACTACACTTTTTTTAATATTTATAAGGAGTTTTTAGCCAATAAAAAAATATATCAAAAATTTTATACAAGCAAACTTTACTTTACGTTTAACTTTAAAAATGATACTAGAATTTTCTCCCAGTGCCGGTCCAGAGACCGGACCCAACACCGGCTGACACTTGGACATGGGAAGCGGTCCGGGGGTGGCTAAAATCGATTTCTGCGCTACCTACCTCGTACCTGCCGGCCAGGTTACCAGCCTGCCTGCCGGTGTGTGTTTGCCAGTGTATGGATGGATCTTGGGTCTTGGGTGTTACCTGTTACCCGGGCTAATGGCCAGCAGACCGCGCGACCAACATAAATCCATAAAAACATGAAAAGGGAAACGAGCGAGGGAAAATAATTAAATTGCAATTATGTGCAAACAATTCCAAATCCGGGCGATTCGGAAAAAGTTAATTACACGACAATAAAGCGCAGAAGAAGACCATTCCCGACACTGGCTATATACTATACTACACTATATATATATATATATATACGTAAGATGGGTTACCTGTTACCTGCCCACATCCGCAGCAAGCTGATTGGCTTGGACTCTTGGCTGACTTGAGCTGACATTAATGGGTATTTGAATGCGGCTTCTGGCTGCTTTAATCGGCTGACCGATGGTCTGACTGACACGGTGACACGTCGTCGTCGTCGTCGTCGTACGCATTACTATATCGTTAGTGTCTGGGCCTTGACTGCGGATGATCGCTGATTTTGCAAAGACTGCAGCAGTATCATCATCAGTGGCTCCAGCCGGAGATACATATATCCCTTAGCCCAGCCCGCGTCACCCCCTCCTAATGAAGACGGACGGGTATTAGTTATGGTCTTATGATAAATTAGTCTGATCCAATTTGTCTGAAGGGGGAGACGCTAGGCCTGTCGTCGAATTAGTGACAAGATCGGTTTGGAAGGGAGGAAGAACCAACCGCTTTCGCCATAGATCTCAATCAGTGAGCGACTGATTAAATGAAATTTAATGACCCTTGATTGCCCAGTTTCTTTGAGTTTTATCTTGGAGTTTTCAGTTTTGAGTTTTGAGTTGGTTTTTTGGGATTTTTATCAAGCAGTTCAGTTGGGTTTTAACCGGGTTTGTCTTGGTTTACCTCATGTGGTGAGGGTTTCAGGGGTTATTTTAAGAGTGAGATATGGGCTATATATCAAGGTGAGTTTAAGGAGGAGTTAAAATGACAAAGATAATTAATTAAAGGATTTATTTGGGTAGATAAGGATGTGGTTTTCTTTAACTTTAACTAACATCTTCAACTAACTTGTTGTTATAAAACTTCTTATGTTATTTCTCCCCCAAAACCTTTAGAAAACCCATCTAGAAACATGCGTGTCTTGGCCAAAAAGGAATTTGATTCCCTTTAACCTTGAAACACCCATATTACCTGGCCAAAAACTTATTTCCCCATGGGCCCCCGAAACCAGAAAACTTTAATTAGATAACCCAGACCCAAGCGGAAAGTTTAAATGCGAGTAAATCAGGTCGTCCTCGTCCTCGGCGGCCAAAGGCAAGCCCGATGAGTGACTGATGAGTGACTGAGGACTGACGGGGGCTCGGACAAGTTTAATTAGATCTGCATACGCAATGAGGAGCCGTGGGTTCCACCGGTAAGCAGGTTAACGAACTAATGGCCACAGTTGCTCTTTGCAGGCCAAAGGATGCGCTGGCTGGGCGTCCTGGCTGGGGCCTACATGTCCCTCACGTTCGTCACAGGCTTCATTTCCATCTCCTCCCCAACTCATCTCCACCTGGACACTTATGAGCTGCACTTGAAGCAGCTTCTGCAACGGATTCTGTGGTCAGCCAATGTGAAGAGATGCTTTGGTGTCATCACGGATGACCTCCACTATTCCATTTACGACAGGAGGTTCTTTGAGGCAGCAGGACGACAGGTAGTACCCTTCTTTGTGATGCGTATCAATGCCAGCGAGGATCTGGCGAGACCCACCAGGCGGGTGGAGCTCATCCTGAAGGCCATCAAGGCCAGTGATTGTGAACTTAATGTGATCACCATACTGAACGGCTGGCAGATGCAGCGTTTTTTGCGATATATTTACGCCACTAGGTCCTTGGATGCCCAGAGCAAGTTTATCCTTTTGCATGACTCAAGACTTTTCGAGAGGGATATGCTGCATCTGTGGAGTGTGTTTCTAGGAACGGTGTTCCTCAAATGGGAGTTGGATGATAGTAGGTAGGTGTTATATGTATATTTATGGTATAAAAACAGTTTAATATTATTAATAAAATTATTAATTATTCCTTCTTGCAGATTCATCATCTCTACAATAGCCTTTCCCGAAATTTTAAGCGGCGTTTTGGTGGTAAAAAATATTGCCAATTGGGAAATGGGCAAAAGTGTCAATGGAAAAATTATATTTGCAGATAAAACAAGTAATTTATACGGTAAATATTTTACAATTTGTTTTTATACTCCTATCATAGACTTTTCCCTTAAATTATAATCTAAACTCCCTTAAAACCCTCCTCCCATCCAGGTGCCTCTGTTCCCGTGGCCATTTCCGAACACGTTCCCATGGTTATGTGGCTGAACACCACTAATAGTTACCAAGGCGTTGAAGTGGAGATCATGAATGCCCTGGGCAAGGCTTTGAATTTCCAACCCACTTACTACAAGCCAAACCAAAGCGAAAATGCAGATTGGGCGCTAGGAGGGGAAAACTATGGAAGTACCGAAGGATTTAGTGAGAATGAAACCAGCATAGATTCTTTACTTATAGAAGAGGTGGTGAGTTTTGGATTTAAAGAAATATTTATTATAAAAAAAGTTATATTATAATATTTTTTAATAGGCTTCTCACAATGCTCGCTTTGCCATAGGTGACTTGCATCAGTTTCAGGTGTATCTGCAATCCGTGGAGCTCAGTTTACCTCACAATTTCGACTGCCTCACCTTTCTTACACCCGAATCCTCTACGGACAATTCCTGGCAGACCTTCATCCTGCCTTTCAGTGGGGGCATGTGGGCGGGTGTCCTGCTCTCCCTGTTCATTGTGGGCACTGTGTTTTATGGCATTAGTTTTCTGAATGCAATTCTAACTAGAGGAGGTTCTACAGGATTTTTTCGCTGCCTTAGGAGGAATTGTGGGGTTCCCCTGGATCCCAAGATATATCGCAGGCTTAGTTTTAGGATTGCCATAGCCCGCTGTCGTCCTTCTAAGGAATCAAGACGACCTCGTGATCTTTTCGATGATTATGCGAATTGTATACTGCTTACGTACAGCATGCTCCTCTATGTGGCCTTGCCACGAATGCCTCGGAATTGGCCGCTGAGGGTCCTGACGGGTTGGTACTGGATCTACTGCATTCTGCTGGTGGCCACTTATAGGGCCAGTTTTACTGCCATTTTGGCCAATCCGGCAGCGAGGTAAAAAATGGAAGTAAAATATATATTAATAAATATATATATTTTTTTATATATTTATAAATATATATTTTTTAAATGTATATTGTTCAATATATATTTATTTAACTTATATTTACAGAGTCACCATCGACACCCTGGAGGACCTTCTGCTCTCCCACATTCCACCCTCTGCTGGTGTCTCCGAAAACCGACAGTTTTTCCTGGACGCCAATGATGAAGTGGCCCGAAAAGTGGGTCAGAAAATGGAGGTGATCAGCCAAATGGAGGATCTGGTAAATCAAAAACTTTTGCATTTTTAAATAATTTATTTTAAATTATTAACTTGTATTATTTTTCGCTTTAAAAATCACAACAAATCATTAAAAAGTATTTAGGTTAAATTCACCGATTCTTATCAGGTCTTAACTAAGATCTTAAATTATTTACCATGATATATAGCAAGTGCCGACGTTATCAAAATGTCGTAGCAATGAACTTTAAACCACCATTTAGAAAAACAATAACCAGTTTTAACCAGTTCTTGAAGTCTAATTGTGTTATCTTTCTTTGATAAGAGTATTTGGCAACATTTTTAATTTAGAGTCATTATTTTATTAAGCCTTCAAGGTAATATAAAGTGATATGAAAAGTATCTAAGGGGGTTAATTGATTATAATTATATTAAAATAAAAAGTTTACAGACTAAACATAGACAGGCCATGTTATGTATTTAATAGTTTACATTATACATATATATATATATTATAATATTTTATATTTTATATATATTATATATTTATATTTTATACATATATTATATTTTACTTTTATATATTTTACTATTTTATCTATTTACTCTATATTTTCTTTATTTTTTTAAGCTTAAAAATTCACCCTTTTCCCCTTTAATTTTTAACTTTACCTTAAAATTACATAGTGTTCCCCCATATAATTTAACCAGGTGCTAATTTAGACGTGTAAAAATTAACACTTGGTTAAAAATAAACCACAAATCCCCCCTCTTTTAGCCATTTAATTAATTTATTACATTTTTTATTAACCACAATATAATATACTATAATAATAATAAGAATAATAAAAGACCTCTTCCCCATGCAGACCGCACGTATAGCCAAGGGTCAGTGTGCCTACTACGACAGCGAGTTCTTTTTGCGGTACTTGAGGGTGGCTGATGATTCTGGATCTGGTATAGGATCCACTTTACATATCATGAAGGATTGTGTGGTCAATATGCCGGTTGTTTTGGCCATGGAAAAGAACTCGGCTTTAAGGAAACGCGTGGATAGCTCTATACAACACCTGGCTGAGGGGGGTGGGTAATATAACTCAGATATCATTAGAATATAGTTATAAAACTCCGAACTTCCTCCTCATATATCCTTATATATATATATTCCTAAAATCGAGTTTTATAATTCCAAACTTCCTTTATATATCTTTATAATTTACTTATATAATTTTTAACCTTTCAGGCTTGATAACCAAGTGGCTCAAGGATGCCATTCAGCGTCTGCCCGCCGAGGCTCCTGCCCAACAGGAGGCTCTGATGAATCTACAGAAATTCTGGAGCTCCTTTGTGGCCCTGATCATTGGCTATGTGGTTTCCATTATAATCCTAATGGCTGAGAGATGGCACTACAAGCATATAGTGATGAAGCATCCCATGTTTGATGTCTACAATCGTAGTTTGTACTATAACTTCAAGAGGATATATCCAGATTAATAAAAAAAAATAAAATTTTCAAGTACTTTAACTTGCCATAAATCCATAATATATATACACACATTTCTAATATTTATAATTGCCATCAGCAAATGACAAATGTCTATATAGTACTCAAAGCTAAATGCCTGAAATATAGAAGCTAAACAAAAATCTCAATTGACGCAGGAGAAGTATCTTTCAAAAGTATCTCCGGGGGCCTTGGTGCAGATGGATGGAATATAGTGCCATTTATCACAAGGGGCAAGTCCAAGTGGCCTCAAGTAGCAGTGGCAATGTGGTGAATAAATTCCAAGAGCCGGAATTTCAGATTCCTTGCCTCAATCACTTGTGTGGTTAAATACTGATTTGCATTGTTTATGAGTTAATGCACATTAGGCATTATTTGTTTATGGCGATATCAGAAAATCCTGGGAAAGCTGAAATGATAAAAGCCCATAAATAAAACCGTTTTTAAGTGCCAGACTAAACCCAAACAGCCCCGAAGAAGACCCCAAACATTTCTATAAACGAAACGAAATTCCCCCTTAAGCGCATATGTATCTGTAGCTGGAGCTGTAGCTGTATCTGTATCTTTTGGCTATATAGTGTGCGGGGCTTAAGGGGGCACTTCAGATTCTGAATGGAATTGGGGGATATGGAAATTGAAATGAGCAAGTGATGAGGTAGCCAGAAAACAGACGTGTTGCCAAACCATAAACAATCCAAAGGTTAATAACAATCATAATAATTAATAAGCTATATCTGCTTTTAGATCTTTGTATGTCTTTGTTGTTCTTGTTTTAAAAATAAATCTCCAGAACTTGCCTAACAGGTGAATGCTTAGAGATTGAGGTTTCTTTAGTACTTAAATAAGAAATAATATTAAAAATCCATAAAGAAATATTATAAAATATTTCACATAAATTAAAAAGTATCTAAAGTCAACTAGAAAAGACCACAAACTATTTAATTTATGCATAACGTTATTTCTCTAATTAAAAATCAAAAATATTCATCTATAAAAAACACATTATATATTAATTAACTCTTTTTTCTAGCTTCGAATATAATTGAAAAAGTGTTTTCCTGACCTGTTTGTATGCTAAAAATTTAATGTATACATTTATTAGCTAAAATATACATACACAATAATTTAATTTCATTTATTTTCGAATTCCCAAAGCTGGTGTTTTCTCCACCATGAAATTGTTTCGCTTTTTCCTTTATGCATACATATTATCAAGTTTTTATTTTGTTTTAGCTGAAGCTTGTTGTTTACATTTCTATTTCATATAATTTAATTAGTTTTGCTTCGCTTTAGTTTCCTTTTTCATCCGGCTCTTTGCCGTAACAGCATTATATTCTCCTTTTTTTTTTTTTGCTTTATATAGTTTGTATTGTGTTTTTTATCATCCGTCATGGTTTCAGTCTCGACATCACTCAGACACGGGAATATTCTTGTTTTTTATGTTTTCCATTCCCTCTAGAAAAAATGTTTACCTGGGGGTTCGTGAATTTTATTAAAGTTTGTTGCTGGATATTTTTTATTTAGTTAAAAGAAAGGTTTCATTTAAAGTATAAAATTTAATTTTAATTTATTATTATGAAGAATTGTTTATCTAACATTTTGTATATTAAAAATTAACACAGCTTTTTGCTTTAAAATTAGCTACATATTTATAAAGAAATTTTGTCGCTGAAATCGTAGTTGAGAATTTTAAGGTTCAGGAGGAAGTTTTACCTTAAAATTCTCAAGTTCTGAAAAAAATCAAAATCAATTTCATAAAATATATAAATTAAAAATCAAAAACATTCTCTTATTTTTTCAATACGAAAAGTGTTTATCCATACGAAAACAGACTACCCAAGATATATCTTTATGCAAAGCCTTACGTATTCATTACTCATAGTCGCCTTTAAATTTATCCCAGTTCGTTGAACCTGAAAACAAAAATTGATTCAATCAAAACAACAACATATTTGTTTCTTTAAATTTTTTGTTTATTTTTGTCTTTGTTTATTTTTGTTTATCTAAAAACTATTGGAGAAATAAAATAACAAGAAAATAGGACACAATACGGAAAACAACTCGTAAATCTCTCACGTTTTGCTTAAATACTTAAAATATACAATTTAAAAAAAATGTTTATCGACGGCTGTTAATTAGTTGTATTACTTTTAAAAATAATATTTAAAACCAGGCAACTGCTCCTGGAACACTCCTGTTTCGTTGGACATTTTGAAATTTCTAAGAAGTCTTTATTTATATTTATAGTATTTATATTTATATTTATATTGTCTATTGCTTAAGCTGACTTGGGCGTTATGGAGTTAAATATATATATTTTTTTAAAATACTTGCTGCTGTAAATGTTAAAAATCAAATCCATAAACCAGAGAGCAGTTGCCACATGGACACCGACACCGTGTTTGCCTGATACTTGTCATATTTTTGTAGTAGTTTTCTTCAAGGATAAATACTTTAACAATTTTTAGCTGGTTTAAAAGCGAATACCACATATGCTCCATTTATATAGTACTAAACTAGACATACTCAGCTAGTGTATAAAACTATATATCATATAATATCGAGCGTTTTTGCATAAATGTATACATACATATAAAAACCTACTGACATGAGACTTTAGGTTTGACTTTACAGTTTACCATTCCAATTACAAAAACAATTCAATTCCCTTTTGGTCAGCAATTCTTAAAATAATATTGTGTGTTCAGCACAAGGATTGCAATAGTCCTACACATCTGAGTATTTTGCACCCTAACCGACAATGATAGAAGCTGCTTTTTAAAAATATAAAGAATTTTAAATTAGAAACTGTCAAGGCTTGGAAAAATATTTTAGTGATCTCATCTATGGCTCTTTTTTTTTGTGGACAGATTAGAAGTGAGTAACTCTTGTTTCACTTGGCATATATTCCATTTTATTACGATTATTCGATGATTTTCGGTTTTTAAATTATAAATAAACCAAAAAAAGATAAATCAAGCCAGCTTTAAATCTAGTAATGAAGCTTGATTATGCCTATTATAGCTTCTTCATCGATTGCTAAGAAATACAATATGTTATACATATGTCTATATATAGTATATATAGTTATGTATCGAAATTTATATATATCACTGTTGCTGGTTTTGTGTGTGTGTTTCATTTACTGGGCTGCAGCTTCGCCGGACTCCGCTTCAAAAACATCATCAGACTCCTGGCCTACATAGTCATCATCATGGTCATCCTCCTCGTCCACCTCCTCGTTCTCATCATAGTCATCGGGATACTCCCCAAACTCGGAGGACTCACCAAGCGTCCAGGCGTCGTTTTCCATGGAATTTCGCGGACTGTAGCTGACGCCGCCGCTCGTGATGGTTAGATTGTTGGCCGGACGCAGCACACTGTATATAAAAAATATAATATAAAGCTTGCAGAATTTTTCATATATTTCTAAATGCAAACAATTTGGATGGTTATATATATGCTTGTGAGGTACTTTCACTCGAGAGTACTCATATCTAGCGATTTCTAAGGAAGCTTTTTAATTGGTGTCTATGTGTTAGCTGGTCTAATGTGGGGGGTTAAGTGGTTATTTTTCGTGGTTCAACTGGTTAGAATGAGGCATGTTCAATGTGATGTCGGTTAGGCTTTAAACAGGACAAACATTTGTACACTTTACAAAACCCTTTTAAGGTATATTTTAGTCAACAAAGTATAGATTAATATGTATGTTTTATGGTTGATTAATTAATTAATTTTGAAGTAGGAACAAACTTTATATGCGAAAAACGCTTGCTTTTGGATTTTAGGGAAATTTATTTGGGTTTTTAAAAATGGATTGTCTTGGAAATGGTATGAAAAATCGTATTTGGAGTTTTTTAGGTCCCTAAATATATTAAAAAACATAAAGTTGTCAGTTATTAATATTAATATTATATATAACATTTAACACACAACTTGTAAAGATTTAATAGGATAATATTTCATAGGTTGAGATGGGATATTTATAAAGAGGGAAATAAATATAGAAAATATCCTATTTAAATTTCTCAATATTTTAAAACGATGATTTCATACAACACCTGTCAATCGATAATTAAATCCCCATAATATCAATTTCCCTAATGACCTGCCAATGCTTAAATGTTTATGAGTTAATAGATCGATGCAGTTAGTATGCAATCTTTGAGAGCATTTCACGGCCCGTACTCATTGCTTTAGCCAAACAAAATCAAATGAAGCCGGCGGCACGCAAGACAAATGAACTAACAAACTTGACGAACGAACGAACAAATTGATCGAGACAATTGCACAACGGCGAAACGAAGAACAAAATGATTGATATTTAATGCATGTAACAACGATCAACAGTATTTACTACAACTGAGAGAATTTTCTATTACATGGGCATTCGGATCTTCGGCTGTCTTCGCTTGGGTATCGTTGTGATTTTTACAAGTTTTGTGGATACTATTCAAGATAGATCCATGTTCGATTCATTTCAATTCGGCGATTGTATCTGGCACTAGAATTGGATTATAGTGATACAATCTGCTGCTGAGGCTGCTGCTGCTTGCATCGTTTTAGGATCGCGTGGCATGTGTTGTTGGTGGAAAGTATTTGGTTTTTTGTTTTCGGTTTCGTGGAAAGATAGTCGACTGAATGTTTAGGTTGTGTGTAGGCTCAAAAATCGGTAACTAGCACACCATCCGTTGGTCATAACTGTCCACGGCGGTAGTGGGAGCGTGATGGTCTACCGATTGTTATTGGAGTGTTGGTGTTGGTGTATTGGTGTGTTTTGTTTTTTATTTTTTCGGGTGTACAGAAATTAAAGAGAAGAAATCAATTAGCAAAATTATAAGTACAGACTTAATTCCTACTCTTCCGATTTAGCTGAGCGGTGTTAGGTTACAAAATTCAATGCTGATCTCGCTTCTTAGCCACTACTTAAGAGTTAAAATCAAGAGGGGAAGAAATCAAGAGCTTCATCTAAGAGTGAGTCATGAGAGATAGCTAGTAATTATATGTATGTACTTTTCTATGTCCAGAGCAACGCACCTTTACCTCTAGCCGCGAAATTACCCATAACCTTAAGCTAATAATAAAAAAAAACAAAATTAAAGGTTATAAATCAAGTTAACATAATTGAAAATGTATATATATGATGTAAATCATTAGAGTGTCTCGGGAAACTCACTAAAAAAATCGTACTCTAAAATTCCTAAAAAAAAAACATAAGCTAATATTTGGGATTATGTACTACATTTATATTATATGTCACAAAAATACATAGAGTTTAAGTTAATAATTTATAAGAGAGAGAGAGCATGATATAGCTTGGTTTAGTTCTTGAAAAACCTAGCTGCTAACTTTACTTTTTAATTATCCAATTATTTTTACATATTTTTCTGAATTTTTTAATACCTTTCTAGTTGAATTCTTTAATTGAAAATAGTAACGATCTGCCAAAAATCCAAAATAGGTTTAATTTTAAAAATAAAAATTAAAATAGAAAATCTTGAAGTCTTTAATTGGGTCTTAAATAGTTAAAATAATTAAGAGAAAATTATAGATTACATTTATGCGCAAAATTACCATATAGAAAATATCTTAATTTGATATATAAACATTTTAAATATCCAAAAATAATTTTAAATTTATTTATTACGAAACAAAGAATTGATTATTTGAACCTAAATTTATGGAAAAATTAAATTTTCAACTTCTATATCACTTTGTACTCATTTAAAATAAGTTTTTAGTCTTATAAAATATTTAAAAAACACTTTTTCTCAATTTAAATTGTCTTAAGCTTAATTAATGTCACCTGAATGAGTCTATTTAAGATCGATTTTTACCAGCTAATAACCTATTCTAACTCTAATTTCATTATTAAAATGCAAATAAACCTATTAAAAATCACCTAAGGCAAATATTTATCTAATAAACCACCTTATTTTAACCCCAAAAACCAAAGACCATTTAAATTACCTTTCAAAAGGCACTTCCTCATCGGCCAAATCGTTCATTTGTCGCTGAGCCTGGTTGTTTTGGGCACGACGCGCCTCCTCCTTTTTGCGGCGATCCTCGGCGGCCGCCTTCATGGGATCATAAGTTGAGCGTCTCTTCCACATGGCCATTTCGGCTTCCTTTTGTTTGTTAACTGCAAAAAGAAAATACAAAAAAATGTATAAAAAAAATATATATAATTTTGAAATGTATAGCCAACCTGAGAGATCACGCCGCACAGCAGAAGAGGCTCTGCCTCCGCTAGTCCCACCACCCAAGGAAGTCGTGCTCGTGTTCATGGCAGAGGCTGCACTCCGCACACTCCTATTGCTCGCTCTCGTTCCCTCTCCTCGACTAAGACCCATGGAGGAGGCACTGGGACTCCGTTTCATTTGATCCGCCGGCTTCAAAGTGCTCTTGGAATCGTTTTTACGCAGAAAATTATTCGACTGCGCTGACTTGTACTTGGAGATGTCCAGATATTTTGGCTGCACCCGCTGACCCCCGCTAGGATTGGAGTTTACACCCGCATTGGCCGTTTGCAGTAGTTGCTTTTTGGCATTGGCCAGCGAACTGGGCACCTGCTGGGCCAAACGACTGAGACTCGTCTCCCTGGGCATGGATTGGCGTGTGTTACGTGTACCTCCAGATCCTGGCGCTGCTCTTGGTGCACTTTTTATACCGCGTCGCGGCATCTCTGGTGTGTTGGGGCAGGCCACCAGACCAGCTCCACTTTGTGCCAGGCTCAGCTTGCCAGCAACTGGCGCTGAAGTGGGTTTCACCGGAGCCGGTGGTCCTCCGCCGGCTACACGTTGCTTGCTTCTTTCTATTCGCATCAGCAAAGCCTTGTTCATGCGCGTGTTGCTTAGAGGCACTGCACCCTGGTTGCCTTCCTGCTCCATCTCCTCCTCTTCGTTGCTGGAATAGTAGGCCCCAGTAGTGCCCATTTCATCCTCATCGTTGATGTAGTACTGCAACTCATTGTCATAGTCGCTGTAGGCCTGCTCAAAGTTGTTGCTGCTGGCGGATTTCTTCAACTGCTGCTGCTGCTGGTGGGCAGTGCTCAAAGCGTGGGCATGTCGGGCAGCGGGCGGTGTGTACAGGTTCTGGAAATTCGGACGTGCTTGCCTTACTGGCTGCTGTCCCTGTTGCTGATGCTGCTGGAAGCTGGTTGAACGACGCAGCGGCGACAGGGGACTGGTGGGAGCTACCTGCTCATCCTGCTCCACCTCCTGGCCAGGATCATATTCCAGGGAGTTCTTGCGGCGACGCAACTGCTTCAGCAAATACTCCCCACTGGTCAGCAACTGCAGCTGCGCCTCATTGATGCTGCTGGTCATTAGAGCCCGGTGGAGAGGCGATCGCCTGTAGCCACCGCCTGCTCCAGCTCCCATCATCCCAGATTCCAGGCTATGCTGCGGGCTGCTCTGAGCCGGCGACTTGACAGAGCTCCGGCGAGAGAGTGACTGCTGCAGGTTGCTTATAGCGGCAGCCGTTTGCTCTAAATACGCATCCGTTGGCGGCCGCGAGCGACTGGCACTGCGCGCACGTCCCAGCGTGTGCAGCGGTGACGGTATTTTGCTGGGGCTTTTGGGTGGCTTATATGGTGGCTCCATGGGCCCCTGGCCGCCATGGCTGCACAATGCCGGATCGCTGGCGTAGTCACAGTCACCCAGCAGGCGATAACGCTCGGCTAAGCTACGATTGAGCTTGGCGGCAGCGGCATATTGACGCTGCTGCTGTTGGTTGTACAGGCTGAGGCTGTCGTCCGTCAAGGAGTCGCCGCCGGTGTCCGAGCAATTGTAGCTGCGTGTCATTAGTTGCTGGGGAAAAAGGTAAAAAATGAAGGAATTAGTTTGTTGACACTTTGTAAGAGAAAAATGTATGGGAAATATAAGAAAAATGTATCAAATTTTAATTGAAATATATGAAAAATGTATGTAATTATAACTAAAAAATTTATAAATATATTTAAAAAAATATTTTAATATATAATATATTTTAATATAATTTTATTTATAAATATTTAATTATTAAAGTTAAATATTTATATTTTTAAGCCAATTTTAAGACTTTTTTACAAAACCCATAAAAGCGTGCTACAATTTTTATCTTTCCCCGGATTGGGGGTTTGTGTCTGTGCTGAGGGGTAGAGTTTTTACATCTTGATGTAAAATCCATGTAGAGAAAATAAAATTTAGGAATAAATGCAAAGTTTGCTTTAAAAAAATTAAGTTTAAAATAATTTAATTTAAATTTTGGCTTGTTTAAAATTATAATTATATTTTTAATTATTTTTAATTTTAATATTAATATTTATTATTATTATTTTATATATATTTTTTATTTTAAAAATGAATTTGTTGTATATTTTCTTTAAAATATCTTATTAAATCAACATAATTCAAATTACCCAATAAAATTACCCAAGATTATGAGTTTCCAATAAAAAAAGTTGTTTGACGATGATGATTCATCATTAAATTTGCTATCTAATCTCTAAATTTGTTAAAAATCAGGCAAACAAAGAAGCAAGTTGCCTAATAAATAAGCTCTACATAATTAAATAAAAAATAGGGCTTACTTTTGATTACAAATAAATACAATTTGAAACGTATAAAGCAAAAATTTAATTGAAAAAAAAAACTAAAAACAAGTTACTAATACTTATTCATCTCCTTCCCAAAAGCAACTCATAATGTTACCCCATCTCGTGATGAGTCACAAAACAAAGCAAATGGGATTATTCCATTTATGTAAATACCAAATTTACTCATCTTCCCGTTTCGAAACAAGTTCTAAAGCTCACCTGTGCCTGGGCCTGCTGCTGCTGCTGTTGTTTCCGGCGACTGGCGCTCGTACCACTCACATCCTGCGCCAGACTCCGAGCTCGAGCATTACGTGCCCATTCCTGAATCCAATCCTGCTTGGTCTGTGCCGTCTGCAGGAGGGCGGCCTCTGAACCCTGAGTTGTGCTTGTTGGCGTGGTGGGCGTCTCCGGAAACTGATGATGTTGGTGTTGATGATGCTGCTGCTGCTGATTGGTGCTGGTGGTGAACACATTCAGGCGATATTCAGCCTTCTGGCGATCGGTGGCCGAACCAGCCAAAGCCTGGGTATGCCTCAACTTGGCCTCATTGCTCACATACTCGGAGCTATCGATCTGCGAGGTAGACAGACTATGCGAGTGCCGGGTGAGCTTGGGATGGGTGTCCAAAGCACGCTGTTTGGCCAGCACGCCACTAGTGGTGACACTTGTGAAGCACCCAACATCCGCTGCCGGCGAGGGGGGAGTGGGTGGCGATAGGGGAGCCGGCTGACGCAGCACGCGACTTTTTAGTTGATCCAAGTAGGCGCCTAAAAAAAGAGGTTATTATATATTTATTTATAATTCATAATGCTTTATTTTGTCACCTGTTGAGCTTCTTTGAGCTGGTGGCAATTGCTCCTGCAGCGGCGTTTCATGGTAGAAGTTCACCTCGAGGACATTGCTGCCTCGATTTGCCTTGACTGGCAATTGTTTGGGACGCATTTTGACAGCAGCATCTCCTCCTCCGCCTCCTCCTGCTCCTCCTCTTCCTCCTCCTCCTACCTTCTTGCCATTCCTGTCAATATTCATGAGATCCTTCTGCTCCTCCGTGTAGTTATCCCCGTCAAGAGTATAAGTTCCCGCCTCACTCACTGCATCATCTCCTAGATTTTTACCATCCGCCAGCGGTGGCTCTGGACAGAGCATCTCCACCTGGCGCAGGGCCAGCTGCATGGCCGTGGAGCGTGGTGTAAACTGATTGGTCGTTCGATTGGCCACCAGATTGGTTGTGCCCTTGGTAGCCGCCGGCGGTGCTGGCAGTTTGGATCTACTTGCGGGTCTTGGTGCTGCCGCTGCCTGTGCTGGTTCTGCTGCATTGGCGGAGCTCCTAGGCGACCAACTGTGCCGCTTGGAGGCATCTCTCACCCGGGACGCACTACGATCTCTCACCCGCATCTTCACTTGGACTGGAGGCGCCTGTTCGCTGGAGGGCGTGGCTGCTGTCAGGGAGGATATGTCGTCTGCCATGCTGCTCCCTGCATCCAAGCTGCTGCGCTGTGAGTGTCGTCCACTGTTTGAGGTTGTGGTGGTGTTGGTATTGTTGTTATCTTTCTCCGTCTCTAGCTTTGACATGGAGGCACCGCGCTTGTGTCGATTCTGGAAGCGCTCCATCATATTTTTGTAGCGCGCCGCCTGAGCCGCTGCATCGTTCTCCGAGGCATCGTCAAAGTGATCAATGGTGAAGGCCAGAGCTGCTTTCGTGGTAGCATTCGACTCGCTCGAGTTCTCCTCCTCATCGGGAGCCGACTTCGGAGAACTGCCATGTTGCTGCTGCTGGTGCGCTCTACTTTGTGCCGCCGCTGCTGCAAAATCAAGAGAGCAGACACACAATTAAATTAGCATTTATTTACAGTTATTATTATTACATTTATTATTAGCGTTTATGCGGTGAAAACGAAACTAAGTTGCTGGCGTAAATTAAACTGAACTCGCCTCACCGGAGCAACTGAAGTGGCGTACAATAGAAAGAAAGGTACAAGAAAGTTGCAAAAGAATAGAGGAGAAAGATACAGGAACGGCTTTAAATAATTAGGGGTTTTATATAAAGAAGAATCTTAACTTAAATATATTAATTTATTAATCGAATTAAATTCAAATGAATTTTAAAAACATCAACCCAGTTCCTACGTTTTTGGAAATCATTAAAACCCATTTAAAGTCTACCCTAGAAAATAATAGATTGTCACCTTTTTCAGCCCTCAAAAAAACATTAAAAAACGAGATACCTAAAACAGCTTCCTCTGCCTGATGACAGACCCCAGGCTTTCCATCAAGATGACCCTGTCTCTAACTATATTCAAGGGCCCCCAGTGAAACGCCCACCTGCAGCCAGAGCAGATCCCTCACCGCTTCCGCTAACAATTTCTATACGTTTCCGCGACCAAGCAAAAAGAAAATCAAACAATTTGCTTTCAGAGCTCTGCCACGCGAAGTGGCACACACACACATAGACTACACTAGGGGGAGCGACCATCTAGGGGCGAGGGTCTCAGAATCGTGATCTATGGATGGGTAGTTTCTACACGTACCAAACGCTATATAAGGCGGTCGGTCGGTCGAATGGCTCTAGCTGTGCCCGGCAAGTGAAGGTTAGAGTTCGGTGATTTCGGTCAATTGCAGGTTTTTATTTTGCCAAGTGGAATGGATGGTCGAATGGGGGATGGGTTCCAGGGGGCAGAGACCCACAAAACTTTTACGCTCTGCCAAACTTCCCGTTTCGTTTTGCAATGAAAATATATACATCTCAAATAACTAGAGTCCATATTTAGCTCAGATTTCGCAGTCAACAAGTTTTTGGTCACGAACCAAAACAAAAATTGGAATTGGCAAACTGAACATTATAATCAATTTTTAGATGTGTAATTAAATTAAGAGTCAAGGTGACAAGTTATAGATAAAGTGTTAAAATAGAAAGGATAAAATTATAGTTAAGATCTCAATCAATAGTTAAAGGCCTAGGAAAGCGGTATACAATAACAATTAAGAGTCAAATGAATATATTCAAAGTTCTAGGTGAAGTTCAACGGTTTGGAAAATTGTTGAAATTAAATCCTATGATTATTTTTAAAGTTCCGCATTAAGCTTATCATTTTAGTTAGGCGTAAATTAACTTATAACTGCAATAGTATCTTTGATGAGAATCTCATATATCAACCTCAAATGCAGATAAGGCTACTTCATCGGAAGCTTTGAAGGGGGGCTACGATTATTATACAAAAAAATATGTTTATATTTTCTTTGTTCTCAGTTTTTTTATAAACACTTGTGTGAACCTTTGTCTCAGATATCCCAGCTAAATTGTTTATTTATTTAAGTTATTGTTTGGTTGTTATGATGATTAATTACAAACACACTGCAAAATACATGCTTAATTTACATATTTCACATAAAATTAGATTGAGAAAAACTTAAAATTGGTTATTCAAACTCTGAGCTTCGTTCCACAATTTTTACAGATTTTCCTAGGCTAATTTTAAGCCCAACTAGACCATAAACCATTAAGAAATCTAACAAATTTCTGCTAATAAGACAACATGATTACTATAATGTATTACAGGAAGTTCCAACTTGGCTTGAATCTAGAACGACATTATTCGGTTGTCGGTTTGAAAAATTTGCAATCCAATTTGGCAGGAAATATTTCTATTTCCCCTGCCACCAAGCGAAGCAATCACCGATAGACAATAGACCACAGTAGGTAACGACCAACGGTAATTACGCTGCCCACTGTGCATGGCCATAAAATGTCTTCTATCGAGTTATCGTCGTTGCGTTCCCCCCAAACCACTCCGCCGAGTGTGCTGTGCAACAATTGAAAACTGTTGGCACAACGCACAAATGTCGGGCATTAGTATTGCCATTATTAATATTATTATTGCCATTGCCGGCTGTCGAGTGGCTTGTTCAACAAAAAATATAAAAACTCTTTTGTTGGGCTTTATTTTTTAGCCGCTTTTACTTTTCGCAATAAATGAAACAAAATGTGGTTCGAGTGCCATATACAGTGGGGGTTAAAGTAATAGTAGTAAACCAACATTTTGTGGAATTTTTTTTTATTTTATTCACCAGTTTATATTTATTTCCTACCACCACTATTATTTTGTACCCAACTGTAATATATTAAAGAAAAAACTATATTTTTTCTTTGTTGGTCACCTTAACTACCTTTACTGTTGTATGGGAAAGTCGAGCAGGGGAAATTGTATGACCGCCTGGTGATTTTCGATCATTTGCTTTTCACTCGTCATAATTCCGAGTGTTAACAAATTTTGTTAGCCAATAATACCTACAATGTGCAGTGTGAGATAATCGGTGCGAATGCAAAGCGGAAATCTATCAGCAATTCTCTCACGCTGGCCCACAGGTTCCAATTGGTTTCCAATTGGGTTTTGCTAATTGCATTATGACCTTACGTCATCGCCGATCAATCAGACATAATATATTTTTCGGGCTCTGTCGGTCTTTTGGTTTTCCCTTCGTTTACTTTGTTTTGCTTCGATTTTGTAGCCTTTCCGTCGAGGTCTACTTCTCGCATTTAAATAAATGTTATTAATAATTTATTTATAATTTTTTTGCTTGCGCTCGGCGACACCAGAGAAAGCCATCGGTGATCATCATCATCTGTCAGCTGCGAATGAGGTCATCGACTTGGCGGCCATTTGTTGTGCGCCTTGTTATCGGCGATTGTTTGGCTTATATGGGATATTTCATTATATACACACACTCTTCAGATCGGTTGGTGTGCTCGAGTTGAAGAAGAAAATTGTTGGGATTTTCAGAAAAAAAAACAATCAACAATTTTTGTTACTTTCAAATATATTTCTCAGCTAAGAGGGAGAGCGATCATTGCTAAAAATAACTGTTTTAATCATTATTGATTGCCAAAATCTAATTTTGTAGCATTTATATTTTGTGACAACTAGAAAATTCTTTAAATATTTAAATTCTTTTGACAGCAGGAATCTAGTAAAAAAAAACTGTAATAATTCAACTAATTAAGCATGCCCCAACATTATCAATTTGGGAACAAGGCCAAAACCAACAGATTTGTTCCGATTTCTTTGGCTTGATACTTGGGTGTTGGCCAAGAATTAATGCCTAACATTTATAATGAATAGATATATGTTTGTAAGAGGTATAAAAACTACAAGAAATTCACATGAATTCTAGAAAGAAAAGTTGCACGTGACCAGAAAAGAAATAATCAAAAACATTTTAAATATCAAGTAATTTTTTTAAAATTTTGAAAATGCTTCTAAAAGCCACCCATTTGTAGGATTCTTTTTAAAGAAAACCATTACTCACTGATACTTTTTAAGATAAATCCCAACCTCACTTCAAACTAAGACACTTTCAGATATTTATTCCACCAGTCTCTGAGTTGCGACATTCCAATATACCGGGTGACATAATGGGTTCACACTCGGCTCTCATTGTCAACGGCACTTGAACTAAAAAAACCGAAACATTCCCAGGCCTCCGTCCCCTTGATTACCTCTACATCTTCCAAGTGCGCCGATTTGTTTTTCATAAATCCTCCCATTTCCCAATGTTTATCAGTGTTGATTTCTTTCGTTCGCTTGCCAAATCTTACACAATTATAGCCGTTGTCGGTCGTGTCATTATCTCACACATTTTCATTCCTTGCACGCAATTCATCGAGCAAAAATAAAATTCAAACAAAAAAAAGTGAAACAGATTTGTGACCAAGTGAAGTGGTGACTCAGCACCAGCTGCGGGCGTTGCTCGATCCGAGGCTACTACGATCCGATCCAGACTACGTCTGTATATGCCAGGCTTGTGCCAATATTAAGCAGAAATATTTTATTGAAAGCAGGGGAATTGCAGGCGTAAATCTTTCAATGAAAACGTAAACAGAAGTCGGAGCAATCTGCTGTATATTTGTGACGACATGATTTTCTTATATACATAATTTTAATCTATAAAAGTTGCTTGCCTCAACAGATGCCATGTTTGGCATTATAAACAATAAGGCTTATAAGGTTTTGTCTTTTCTTCTAAGAACAAGCTAAAAGGCTTTCAAGTATTCTTAAAAATCTAAAGCAGAATTTGTAATAAATTTATAATTTTGTGTGTTTTTTTGCCTCGCTTTCAATCTAATAAATCTATCAATCTAATTTTAAAAATTAAGCAACAACCATATATTCAGGTAAAGAAAAATAATCAAAGTTGAATCTTTCTAAATTTGAACTCATCAATATTTGGCTTCCAGTTTTAATTGTTTTTCTACCTGCCATCCAGAGTTTCTAAAATGGTGAGAAAACTCCAGATGTTTGTTGTATCAAGTCTCCATTATCTTAGTTTAGTCAGAAATTAAATTACTTTGGCGAACTTCTTGTAGAGAAAACGCAAAGCAACTTCTTCGTTTGGTGTCACAGAGCCATAAAAAATAAATACAAAAAAGAAATACGCGCAAGCTGATGTCACTTGTCGCTTTAGCGGGCTATTGATCCCGTTCCACTTTCTCGGAACCAGAATCAAGAACTTGCTTTTCAACTGGCCTCGGCCCACTGTGCTCATACAACACCGTAAACGAGGTGTGTTGTATACCTGTGTGTGTGCGCGAGAGTGTGTTTGCCAGGCATGACTATTGCAATAAATATTTGCGCTTAGTCGTGGCCAGAGACTCGCACAAAATAACTTCATTAAAAATTCAAATGAACAAAAAAAAAGCAAAACAGCAAAAGACAAGCCTCACTCAACCTGGAACAACAAAAGCCGTAGCAACAAAATCACGGTTAAATTAGCCATCAATTGTCGCCGATGTTGGCGGTTTGCGGTTTTAGTTTGCTAATGTTGCTTTTTTCTTTAATTTATTGCATACTCCAACTCGACAAAATAAACCTTTCTTATTTATATATATTATTTAATTAAAAAATACTATCATCAGTTAAAAATATTAAATACTTAAACTTAAACTTAAGAAGGAGACTCACCTTTTTCGGCCGGCGATGGTGGCGGCTTGCCAAGGCAAAACTTGCCGCAGGACTCGTCAATGGCCGCTCCGAGGCCTACATAACCGGGATTTGCTGTTGGATTCCTGAGCTGAACGTGACGGGGTGACAAGGCAAGCGGGGAGGTGGCCGGATTGGATCCATCTGGACTGTCAATGATTTCCGTGATTTTCTTGAGGTTCTCCGGCGTTGTATCAGCCTTTTCGCGTCCATCGCTGCTGTTGCCATCTTCCTCGGCGTACACCGTTCGTCCGATGGATAGGTTGTCCCCGCTCTTGGCCTTGGATGAATCAGATGCTGTGACCATGTCCCCAACAGCTGACAGGGAGGCGTTGCCTGCTGCTGTTGTTGTTGCTACTCCTGCTCCCACTGGTGCTTCGCCAGCTGATGTGGCCGTAGTTGTTGTTGGTGGAGCTGGTGCCGCGGTAGTTGTGTCATTTGCGTATGATGTCATCTTAAGCCTTCGCTGATATAAATTTTGCAACAAATCGGAGTTTTTGTTGTGGTTGTTGTTGTGTTAGGAAGGTACACCTACTTTCGCCGCTGTTTTTCTGCCTATTTAGCTAATTAATTAGCGAGTCATTTCTACACGTTTTCCGGCCTTCGTTGCGTGCTGTCTGTCGTCTACTGCCCTTTCTACTTCGCTTTCCACATCCTGCTGCGCTTTAAGGTTGCTTTTTTTTTGTGCGTAAAGTCGGTTCCTTTTGCTTTGCTTCCTACCTACCGAACGAAGGTGTGAAAATCATTCAAAGTTGCGGTCAATTAGCATTTATAACGGACTTATTTAAAAGACAACTATTATTTTGGCCCCAACTGTGAACTATTAACGAACAACACTTTTGTTTTCTGTTCAAGAATGGCTGATCACGCCCCGAATGTAAATGGAAATGCAGACAATTACCGACACACACGTCAATGGAGGGAAATGACCAAGGTGTATTTCCAATTGCGCGACGAGAGTTTTCCGATTGGACACTTGAAAATCTTTTCAGGCATTTCCACACGCATAAAAATAGCCGAAAGGCAGAAGAAAAGCGATTCTTGGCTGCCTTTTCAAGGTTGCTTTTGTTGTGCTTGAAAGAAAACCTAATCGGATATTTTATTTTTACATTGAACACTTTTGGAGGCGCACACACACACACTCAAAGGCGAGCACGCACCCGAAAACACAGACACTTGAGGCCAACACATACACACTTTCAAGGGCAGGGTCCGCTCGGACTTTTCACTTGCATTTCCCGCAACGCTTTTCACTATTGTCGGCGGCTCCAGTCAACCGTTGTTCTGGCTGGATTTGATAATGAACTTTTCTTTATCTTTGCCTCGGTTTTTCCGATTCACGACACGCGCAACGATTACTCACGGCAACAATTCAGTCAAGAATGAATGTGAACGTGCAGGTGTGCGTATGTGTTGGCCAAAAGTGGCTTTGGTAAGAGAGAGAGAGAGAGAGAGAGAGGTGAGCACGCGACAACAATGGAGAGACCGCAGTGTTGCCCACCAATATAGCCAAATCTGGCTATTTATTTATTTAATAAGGCAAACAAAACGAAAAATAGGTTTCTTTGTGTTTTAGCTGTCTTAATATAAAAATATTAATATTTTCCTTAAAATAGCAAAATCAACTGAGGCATAACCAAACAAAATCGTATTATAAATCACGTTTGGCTATAAAGTAGCAGAGTTGATAGCACTGCAGAGAGTAAGCAAGAGAGCAAGGCAAACAGCTGGGAGTTGAATTCAGGGTTGCTGTACTCCAATCGGTATGGAAATATGCCTTTTTTATTGGAAAAAACCCATATCATATAATTTAAAATTAATTGTTTGTCGATTTTTTAATTTTAATTAAATAAATAAAATTTATCTTAGTGAAATGACACATTGTGGGCAAAACTCTTGCGAGGTGGCAGCACTAATTGGTTCTCTCTCCCATCCATGTTCTTGTTTCGCGCTCTTTCCATTGATTGTTTTGGCCAATCTAAAAGCTAATTAAACCGTTAAATAACACCACTGAGCACAGAATATCATCCACAATGCGGATAAATTAACAAAAGAAGCGCTCTTCGCGGATTCACGCTTCACTGAGCAGCTATACCCCAGGCGGTGCACCCGACAGGTGGCCTTCAAATAGCGACGCTAAAGCTATTTTTGGATCCAAACACTTGCGATCACTCTCGCTTTTCACGCTAACGGGTGCACAGGTGTACGACGGGTTGAAGTAATTAAAACGGATGGAATTTGAAGACTTCACAACTGTCAAATGGCAGAAACAATAACAATTGTCGCGCAAGTGATAACGGGAGAGAACCAGCCCTCTCTCGGCGGACACACAATGCTCGTTCTCTCTCTCTTTCCTCCCTCAGCAAGTATTTTGTATTGGCATTTTTTCGTTTTCTTTTGTGCACTTGTTTGTCGTTGGCTATTCACACTTTTCTTTTCACTTTTCGGCTTTATTTGTTTGTAATTTTGGCTTTCTAAGCTACACATTATATTTATACACTCCGGCCAACTGTTATTGGCATGAAAAGGGCTTATTTACTCGCTGAACGAAGCAAGAAACGAACGGCGCCAGGAACTTGCAAACTTTTTCGTTTTGTTGTGCCAATCAGAACTAGAGCTGGGAAACTATCGATGGTACTATCGAGGTATCGACTTTTTCCTTTTTTTGAGCCACCATCGATAGTTTTTTATCACTATCGATAGTACGGGACTATTTTTATATCTCTGCTTTGTTGCTGAAATTTAGTAAGAAAAATGCAAACAAATATATATATATATGTATATATATATTTTTTTTTTTATAATAAAAATGTATTCTAAATTAACTTAAATTGGAGTTGGTGGTGAAAAATATTAACTGAATCTCAAAAGAAAGGGTGCGTCTACGCCACGTCTTCAGAGTCTAAGCGTATGTTTAGCAATGGTAATACAATTTTATTTGTGCAAAGTTGCTTGGATAGAATATTTATGTTAATTACTTAGTCAAAACATATTGAATAGTATTATAATTCTATTTGAAATTGCTATAACTTTAATTTGCAAAAAGAATCGTAAAAAAACGATACTATCGATAGTATCGAATTTTCGTTTTCAAAACATCGAAAATATCGAATGGTGTCACTATCGATAGTTTCCCAGCTCTAATCAGAACTAGAGGTGGAACAAGAGTTGCCAAAACATCGACTGCACTATCGATTGGGTTTTAACTATCGCTTTAGTACAGGAAATATATTTAAGATATTTGTATACCCTGTATGACAGAGCAATAATGGAAAAATATATATTAATTAAGTAAATTAATTAAGTTAAATTAATTTCAGGATTCAATTGTTTAAATTTTCCCTGCATGAATACCCTACATATTTGAGATGACTCATTTTTTGCGATAGTATAAAATATCGTTCTAGAAACTATCAAAAGCTATCTGTAGATAGAGTCTGAAATATTTAAAAAATAATAAAATAATAGATTTATTATTTTAAAAAATTTCGGAATAAGGCAAGGCTTATCGGGCTCTGACTCTGATCAAAAAATATCAGGGACCGTATTTAAAATTATTAAAATTCATTAATATTAAATAAAAAAATTAACAAATAAATAAAAATTAAGAAATATATAGATTTAAAAAATTAATGAATAAGTATGAAATATTAGAAAAATCAAAAAATTTTTGCCCATTTTCCAAATCTAATAATATATTAATAGACTTTATTTAAAACGGTTTTTATTCAAACTGTTTTTATTGTTTATACATTAATATTGTATAGGTTATGTAGCTAGGCATGTGTTGTATATGTTTGGAGGGCATCATGATGCCAATCTTGTCTTCCCAGAAAAAACTTACAAAACTAATTAAAAAAGAACGCAAACATTCATTCAGACGGCGAATGCGATGGTGACTTTTGGCTGGTTGGTTAGCATATATAAATATAAATCCGCCAAGACTGTACACAAACTGATAAAATAAACTGGGACAAGTGTAAACGGAATACTCTGGGAATGCATTTAAAAGTGGCGCTGACTTAACGTCCATTCCAGTGGCCTACGTGACCATTTTCAAAGGCCAGGTTTATCCTGGGATGTGGTAACGGGCGGCTTGCCTGCAGGACCTGCCTCGCCGGGTCGTCCTCGTAGTACAAGCACTGACGTACAAATTCCAGAAAGAGTGCCTGCGCCTGGCCAGCAGCTTTGGGCAATGCCTCCAGATTAGAGTCACTGCAGAGTCCTTGGACCAGCTGTTCGCATATGCGCGTGTTGGTGTCCACATCGAAGAGCGGCACCCCAAAACTTACGTCCAACAGGGTCCACTCCTCCGTGGCATCGTCCTCCTCCTCCAACGTTGGGGCTAGAAGCTCCTCCGATGGTGTCATCTCCAGGGGGATCTCAACGGAACTTTGGGAGACAAGATCCGCCCGACTGCATTTGGCCAACTCGCTGGCCAGCACTTGACTGCAATCCGGTGAGGTGAATTCGTTGGCAGGTCCATGCTCTGGGGTAGCCGCAAAATGGTTTTCATCGGGACTCTTCAACTGAAAGCTGGTAGCCACCTCGCTGTTTGGCACATTAGTCATTGGCGTCGTGATAGAAGAACGCTTCTGCCGCTGCATTGGCTTCAAGCGAACCTGCAGCTCGTAATCCTCGCATCCTAGATCCGGCACCCCTGTGTTTAGGAATGTTATGTAGCCGCACTGTTGCCTCAAGTCCAAAAGGCTGGCCAGCTTCTGTACAGCTCGATGGGCAGACCATTTGGCCTGGCGCGGATCCAAGGTTTGGAAAGGGAATGATTCGTAGTGTAAATTGCCGGCTGTGCGGATGCCATAGCCTTGGAGCAACACGCAGCCGTTCTTGAGTTGTTCGTTGACGTTACGGAAGTTTTCCGAATTGAGGACATACGAGTCAGAGTGCAGGATGTTTACCAAGAGCTTTCCATAGCCCAGAAATAGACGGGGCAGAGTCTTGAGCACGGTTCCGCGGGAAAGCAGCAAACTGGGGGGACCATAGCCTAGAAGAAACATGATGTAAACCGTCAAAGGAATCTTGTAATCTAGGACATCTTACCTGTGATATGATTGTAGAAAAGCTTGCTCCACATGGGCGTTACATCGGAGCTGCGCAGAAATTGCCCAAAATAGGGAATGCTAAAAGTGTGACTTAGCGAAGCCGTTAGCGGCGAGGCGGCTATTATAAACTTGTACTTCTTCTCCAAGACACGATCTCGTGTCTGCCTATCCAAGCCCTCCAAGCACTCCAATCTTAGCAGATCCAAACCACCCGGCACCAAATGCCGCAACGAGCAGATGGTGGAGCGTAGGATAACCGCATGAGCAAAGTAGCGGGAGACATCACCTTCCCCCTCCGCATCCAACAGGGAAACCTGCTCTAGCTCGGCCAGAAAACTGTCCAGACTCTCCTCGCATAGCTTACCCACCTCAAACATGGTGACTGCATGGTTCTTCAAGCCCGGCGAGAGGTTACCCATCATCAGGAAAGCCGTAAGCGTGGAGTCAAAGAGAAAGCCGACCCTTTTGCCACTCTTGGGAAGAGCAGGGGCAGGAGCTACAGCTGCAGGCGGTTTGGTTGTACGCTCACTCAAATCCTCCAGTTCCAACTCAGAGCTTAGCTCTTGCTCATCGCTGTTGTTGCTTGTTATTGGCTCCTGGGGCGTGGTGTTTAAATTGGCAAAGCTAAAGTCACTGGTGTTGCCATCCGAGGAGAGGTATCCTATAGAGCTGCTGTCCTTGTCCTTGTCCTTTTCCTTGGGTGTCTTTGGCGATTTGGGACTCTGATCAAACTCAAAGCTGTTGGCATGTAGGTTGTAGTTCAGGGGCGTAATCTGTGGCGTTTCGGGCGTCTGCTGACGGTTGTAGCCTTCCCAGCTGGGATGATTGGGTTGACTCTGTTGCTGCTGAAGCTGCACAGCATCCTCCTTCCGATGAGCAAAGCCCAGGCGGCAGATAAAGGACACCGCCTGCTTGACACTATCCAGTTCCAGTTGCAGCATGTGGGCTAGCTCGGCGATGGTCATGTGCTCATCCGCACTCACAAAGATCTTGTACAGCAGATTCTCAAAATAATCGCCGCTCACACGATTCATTACAAAGTTCCGCAGAGGAGGAATGGAGATCCTATCCTCGCCACTGATGGGCACATCCAAATAGACAAGGCCCTTCCTGTACAGGCTGTGCACCACTTCGTGGTCACATTTGCCCGCCGGTTGGGCCCCAAAGTCTATGAGATCATCGATTAGAGACCTCTCCGCCGGCGATAAATACTTGATGTCCGCCTCCAGAACATAGCCAATGTCCAGTCGCCACCAGGGCTCCATGTGTATGCGGACGGGAAAGCGCGGCAGGAAGTCCAGCGGATTGGGACGCGATCCGAAGATGAGGGAGCGCGGTGTGTGGGTCTTCAAGTCGCTGATCAAGGCCAGGTACTCATTCCGACCGATGCCTAGCACGCGCAAGCAGTCAGCAGCCGTGAAGTTTGGCAAGGTATCATAGCTCTTGTCGCTCCGCAAGAGCTGCCCCAGCACGTCCAGATAATAGTTGAAGGGTGTGACTCTCAATCCCTTGGTCACGATGTCGGCCAGATGGTAGGGAAAAGCGCCCAAGCCGTTGATGCTTTTCTGGACCAGCAGTTCGTAGTAGCGCTGCTCCCGCCGAAACACCTTGGCGGCCAGGTTGCCTCTGAAGCGCAGCTGGTTCTTGAGGCTGTAGTTGAAGACGAACTTCTCGTAATCTCGCTGGTTGTTGTGCAGCACGGAGCGCAGGTGGACGGGCAGCAGCTGCCAGGAGACGTTCCCACGCACGCACTGCTGCAGTTGGTTCTGGCAGTTGCTTCCTCCAGCGCTGCCAGCGGCTCCAGCTGCGGAACCATTGCCTCCGCCGCTGGCAAAATCCTCTTGCTCCGTCATCTTGGGACTCTGCTTCGGTCAGGATCTTTTGCTTATATAGACTAGCTCATTCCATGGCCTGTAGTACTGTCCAATATTTTCCACCCGCTGCCGCTGCCGAGTTGCGTTTTATTTTTCTTTTCTATTTGTTGGCAGGAAGAGGAAAAACGGCGACAGCTGATAAAGGCGGGCGATGTCTTGCAACACTGGTCGATCGCATGGGAAACTATCGGAATTTAAGTTTGGGATACCCTACCTTAGCAGGCCCCTCAGATAGCGTCATTTTGAATAATTTTATTGTTAATTGTACTGTTTTTTGGCACTGTTCCTAGACAATGGAAAATAATTTAAAGTAATTATTTGTAATCAAATTTTATCAACGTATTTTTTTTAACGATAGGCAACCTATCGTTAACCAAGCGCAACCTATCGGTAGTTTACCAACACTTTTGGTCACTTTTCGCGTTGTGCAACACCCGCTGATGATTTTCAATATTGCTTTGAAAACACTTGCGTTTTTTAGTCGAAATTGTCGGATTATTGTTATGAATCGTTCATAAACGGTGTACGCTCCAAGTTCAGGACCAAACGAAGCCGGCCAGGAAACCCTCGATGCGTGGCCAGCCAGCCAGCGACAGGTGCAGTGACAGCGAAAGCGGAGCAGCGGCAACAGAATTTAAGGTCACAGCGACGACAAAAGGGACATCAACATCGATTTTTTTGCACCCTTTTTTTTTGTTTTGTGGAGCACGAATCTTGGCAAGCGCTCGGCCGGTTTTGTGCGAACAAAGGAAGACCTAAGCGGGTGTGGGGGGTGTGAATACAGCGAATTTCAGCAAAGATGAGTGGCGGCGGCGGTGAGGAGGAGGAGCAACAGCAGCAGCGGCAGCATCAGCACCAGCTGCCAGGTGTGTCCTCCAGGTGAGTGTGGTTGCGCCTTAGTTTAAAGCTGGTCAACATATTCTCAATCCTTTAGTGCTTCTGGATCTGGAGCGGCTGCTGGTCGGGCCACGCCAGAAATGAAGCGTTCGGCTGTGCGCAGTCTGATACAGAGATACTTCCACCAGCTGCAGTCCGGCTGTGGGAACGCCCACTGCACTAATGATAACTGCGCATCCAGCGGCAAGGTCGCGCCCATGACGCCCAATGAGGTGGCTGCCAAGGCCCTGCAACTTTTTTCACAAGATGCTCAGCTCTGCGAGGCGTCTGCTTCGGCATCCAGCAGGTAAGGACATATCCATATCATCTGATTCGGTTTAATCTCTTTCTTATTTAGCCCCCAGGATGTGGACATGCTCTCGCCGAACGACAGCAGCAGTAGTAGCAGCGGCAGCTCCACCAGCACCATCACCTCTGCCAGTACCACCACTACCACCAGCACTCAATCGCAAAGCGCTCCAGCTGCCGTTGTGGTGGCGGCGGCTGCTGCTGCTCCTTCTGAGAGTTCCATACCTGTCCAAAGTCTACCGCAGCTGGATCTTGTCGCCGAGCCCTTATCCGTTGGCTCTGGACCTTGTACACCCACCCTGCCCCCAGTCCAAAGCCTGGATGCCAATAGTCTGATAGCTCTCTATGAGCAATGCAGGGCGGCGGACAGCTACGACAGGATTTGCCACGCCATTGGCGATGTATTCTCCTTCGTGGATCGACTGAGTAAGAGCTTCGTGCGCAGCGCAGAACCAGCGGCTTCTAGTAGTCTGCAGGAGCTGCTGGATAATCCACCAGAGGCTCTAAACAAAGAACAGCTGCGTATGTTAGAGGGCGAGCACGACAAGGACGAGGATTGTACACAAAAGGAAGAGGAAGAGGCAGCTGGAGGAGATTCGGAGGCGGCTTGCTCAGGGGAAGTTGTGGTGGTAACCGAAACCGAAGCTGAAACCGAGGACGAGGATGTGCCAATGGCTCAACCTGAAGCAGATTCCCAAGCGGAGGGTGAGGATAAGTCCCAGAGCAGCGACACAATGGTGGATTTTCAGGGATTGCGACGGGTACAGAGGCTGCTTTTCGTCTGCCAAACCCGTGCCATTACAGAGAAGCTGACCACCAGTGTTATCCAGCTGGCGGAATGGGTGCAATACATGCGACCCGACTGGGAGAAGGTGATCCACTGCCTGGTCATATGCTTCGACCTGGCCACCAATAGTGAGTTTTATAAATTAAATAAATTAATTTTAAATAATCTACATTTAATAACAGCAAACAACAGCGTGGTGGACATTGACTATCTGGATCGGGCCTTGCCCAAGCTGTGTCAAGCGGCAGCCAGCATGCCCGTGCCGGCACAGGCGCGTCTGGCCAGGATCTGGGCAGCACATTGCCCGGATCAGTTGCAGACTTTGGTGGCTGCCTGCCAGCAGCAAATCACCTTACAAGTACTCCTAGACGAGGAATCCATGCGAGAAAACGGTTCCATTATAGGCATGACCAAAGTTTTAAAGGTAATACTTGAGATTAAACCTTCAAAAGCAACCAATTAATCTTCATTTACTCTCCCTCTAGATTGTCTTCTATGCCAACATCTTGGCTAGCGAGTTGGAGCTCCCCTCTTGCCGGATACCCTTAGAGGATCGGGCGGAGACACCAGCCACATCTTCATCCTCTAGTGGACCCGTTGAGGATGATTTGTTTGTTTACAGCTCGGTTCATCAGCCGCATATGCCCAAGTTCGCCGAGGATCAGCTGGAAAAGGCTTTGCAAGTGTCGGCCATTGATTGCCGGCGACCTTTGGTGCCGCTGGAGGAGTTTTACAACGAGGCTCTTAGCGAGAATATACAGATGCACCACGACTACCTCTCATACAAGACACTGGCCATGGAGAGCGAGATGGGCTCGGGCCAAACCAACTATTTCTCCTTTATGCTCTACGCCTTTATCCTTACGCCGGCGACCAAAGTGGATGCATTATACTACGATAGTCGGATGAGGATGTACAGCGAGCGTTACTCCTCGCTTTACTCCATGCTCAACAACTTTGGGCAGGATGGTCAGGATGGCACACCCCGGCCTGATCTTAAGTTGACGGTGCGCCGGGATCAGCTTATAAACGATGCTCTCATCGGAGTGCGTATATCATTTTAATAAGATTGTTATTTATATTAATATTTATTATCCCATTTCCGTAGCTGGAACTGGTGGCCATGAGCAATCCCAAGGATCTCAAGAAGCAGCTGGTGGTGGAGTTTGTTGGCGAGCAGGGCATCGATGAGGGCGGCGTATCCAAAGAGTTCTTCCAGTTAATTGTGGAGGAGATTTTCAATCCAGCTTTCGGCATGTTTGTCCAGCAGGAAGAGACCAATAATATGTGGTAAGAATATAGATTCTTTAAACTTAAAAAAAACCCTTGCCAATATCTCCTATTCAAGGTTCAATGCCACACCCTTTGAGAATGGTGCTCAATTCACTTTAATTGGGATTATCATTGGCCTGGCGATCTACAACAATGTTATCCTGGCCGTAAACTTTCCCATGGTGGTCTACCGTAAGCTGATGGGTTATTGTGGAACCTTTGCCGACCTCAACGACTGGAGTCCCACGCTTTATAAGAGTTTAAAATCCATGCTGGACTACCAGGGTGAGGACATGGAGGAGGTGTTCGATCAGACCTTCAAGATTAGCTACAGCAATGTGTTTGGGGAGATGGTGGAACACGAACTGGTGCCCCATGGCAAGGATGTCTTGGTGGGGCAGCACAACAAGCAGCTGTTTGTGAACCTGTACAGTGACTTTCTGCTGAACATGAATATTCAACAGCAGTTTAATGCCTTCCGAAAAGGCTTCGAAATGGTGACGGATGAGTCGCCTTTAAAGCTGCTCTTTCGGCCCGAAGAGATCGAGATGCTTGTCTGCGGCAGTCGGGTGAGTATTTAGTTTTTTAGAAGAAAATTGTTATGTTATTTATTTATACCCTTTTTAGGAGTTTGATTTCGTGGAACTGGAGCACTCGACGGAGTACGAGGGTGGCTACACGGATGAAACGCAAATCATTCAGGACTTTTGGAGCATCGTTCATGCCATGCCAAACGAGTCGAAGCGCAAGCTGCTTGAATTCACCACAGGCTCTGCGCGTGTACCAGTGGGCGGGCTGAAATGTCTGCGGCTGCTAATCACTCGCCACGGTCCGGACAGTGATCGTCTGCCCACCTCGCACACCTGCTTCAATGTCCTGCTGCTGCCGGAATACAGCAGTCGGGAGAAACTGGAAGAGCGCCTGCTGAAGGCCATCAACTATTCAAAGGGCTTTGGCATGCTGTAGACTAAAGACACACACTCACTCTTACACACACACATGACCAACGTCCAAGTCCAAGTCTGTCATCGCAACTGTTACCACCTCTCTCTCTCTCTGTCTGAGATGAAGAAGGAGAAAATTTGTAATGGGTTTGAGTTCGTTTTGGGTTCTCCCATTTATTTTTGATACGACCTGTTCAATGAGACAATATATACATACAAATAAATATATGCTCAATTTCTGGCGCGATGGCGAGAGCGAGTGATCACCGAACGGGCGCACGCGATTTTGTTTACCCTTGTCGCCCAGTTAATTGTAAATACTACTACATTACATACCGCATTCACCTATGTAAACTCCCAAAAACATTTAAGTCGCAACCCGCTGAATATTTTGCTAAATAAATTTGGAAGTTGTGCGCCAAAAAAAATAAAATGTTTTATTTCTTAATTTTATTTATAATTTTTAAAATTAAGTAAATTGCTCGTTTATTTTTATACAATTACAAATTTTAGTCAAAACCTGTAGCTACATACTTTTTTATATACTTTGGGAAAATACGTGCATAAAAATGTCCAAGCTTTTTTTTTCTCTATTTAAAAATCATTTATAAAACAATTAGATATTTAATTAAATTTTTAAATCGTAGCGCGAACAATGGCTAATAAATATATCGATTAATGGACAACATCAATGTAATCGAAAGCACAATCGCTGCTCTGCCATCTCTGATGGACGCCGAAAAAGAGGAAAGAAAGAGGATAAAAACAAAAGAGATTAATTTATAATTGCTAAATACGTAGTTTACAAATTGCAGCCAGACTAAAAAAGAAACCTGCTGATGACAAGGGAGACAAGCAACTAGAAATATAATTCATTTTGATTAAAATTTAAATAAATACTTCGATTGCTCTACAACCCATCGATAATCGATAGATGTTGAATTCTATGTTTTCCCATCTCTATTGGACGTTGTTTCTCTTGTTACGTTGTTTTCACCTGGGGCAAAACGAATATCATGGAGCGGAAACTGCACAGTGGAATGCACCACGCCACCCTGCGCCTGCTGCAGGAATCTGGATGCGAGATAGCCCCCCACAATCTCATGTATCCGGTGTTCATCGTGAGCAACGACAACGACGTCCAGCCCATAGCCAGCATGCCGGGTATCTCGCGATTTGGACTGAACCGTCTCAGGGAGCACCTGCAGCCACTGGTGGCCAAGGGGCTCTCCTCGGTCCTCCTCTTTGGTGTGGTGGAACCGGAACTTAAAGACGAAAACGCCTCCAATGCGGATTCCGCCCAGAATCCCGTGGTCAAGGCATTGCCCAAACTGCGGGAATGGTTTCCCGATCTCCTGATTGCCTGCGATGTCTGCATCTGCCCGTACTCCTCCCATGGACACTGCGGTCTGCTGGGCGAGAATGGCTTGGAGAATGGTCCCAGCATCAAGAGGATAGCAGAGATTGCAGTGGCCTATGCCAAAGCCGGTGCCCATATAGTGGCCCCCTCTGACATGATGGACAACCGGGTGAAGGCCATCAAGCAGGCTTTGATCGATGCGGAAATGAATAGTGTTTCCCTGCTGGCCTACTCCGCCAAGTTCACCTCTAATTTTTATGGTCCCTTCCGGGAGGCGGCGCAATCGGCTCCAAAGTTTGGTGACCGTCGGTGCTATCAACTGCCTAGTGGATCCAGGAGCTTGGCCATGAGAGCTATTCAAAGGGATGTGGCCGAGGGAGCGGATATGCTGATGGTGAAGCCGGGCATGCCGTATCTGGACATACTGCGGTCAACAAAGGATTCCTATCCATATCATACGCTGTATGTGTACCAAGTGTCCGGGGAGTATGCGATGCTGTATCATGCCGCCAAGGCAGGAGCCTTTGATCTCCAGGAGGCCGTGCTGGAGGCCATGAAGGGCTTTCGGCGTGCTGGCGCCGATTGCATCATCACTTATTACACGCCCTTCCTTTTGGACATTATCACGGGCAGGGTTAAGTAGTTGCTATACCTTTCTGCCTCTCTACCTCAATGGTGCAACCTTTGTCTTCGTGTTCAGTCCATGTCTATGTGGATTAGAGTGGACCTATTACTGTTATTTTAAAGGAATAACTGGTTTGATATAAGTTTCAATTTCCATGACTTAAAGCAATTTTAAGATTTTAAAAGGTTAATAATTATATGTTTTATTATTAGCCAAATTTTAGGCTTAAGTTTAAAGGTTTCTAAAAGTTTTTATGTAGTTTTTATAACCAAAGTACTTAAATGTTTGTCATACCTATAAGTTCCTACCTGTGTTTTTATAGATATTCATTCAAACCATCATTAAAATTTATGTTTTTGAAAATTCTAATTTAATGTTACGGAAAAATAGCATAGCACCTAGAGCTACAACCCTTTCCAACTCCCACTGAAAGAGCATTGTTACAAAATCTTTAAAAAATCCTAAAATTGCAGCTTGTAGTAGGTCCACTCTAATGTTCAATCAACATTACTTGTACTTTATAGTTACGAGTGCCTTGCTCCATTCGCCGCAAATACACACACACACAACTAGAATGTATATTTTAATGGTCTTATCAATAATCGGAATCGTCTTGTTTTGGTATTCTAATGGGCCCAGCCAGAAAATACACTCCGAATATCAATTATATGGCGAAATTCAAGCTGTCGATCAACCGGATCTTCAAGTGAAAGTAACCAGTTTTAGGTGAGAATGGCAATTAACACTTTAATTAATAATGTGGGACTCTTCGATTGCATTTACAAATGGGGCTACGGTGAGCACTGAACACACTGCCTGGGAGAGAGATAGAGCTTACTTGGCTAAATTGGTACAAGTTCAAGTCTTGAAGGAAATTATAAAAAATCACAAACTTAAATGCTTTTTAAGTACATTAAGGAAAAGATTAAAATTAGGCGGAAAATGATTGGTAATTTAAGATTATTTGGGTTATTATATCGTTTAAGAATTTCTTAAAATGGAACCTTAGGAATCTGTTGAGTTTACAATAACAAATGCTTTGTTTTTGTTTAGGATTATATAGATTTTCACAGGTAATACATTACCTTTAACAAAAGGTCTTAAAAATTTCTAATACTAAGTTAGAAATGAATACTTCAAATTCCGGGAAATTAAATGAAAAAATAACTAAACAATTTCGATTCTACGAAATATAAGGAATACAAAACCCTATACTTCAAATTCCGCCAAATAGGTTCAAGTTTAAAAACTAAAAAAACAAGAGAATGTCTTTCAGGGGTTCGGATTTGAAGCTAACTAAAATTAAATCTTAAATTAAAAATTAAAATTAAAAAACTAAAATTTTAAAAAGTAAAATGATAAAGTTACAATTACAAATTGTAACATTAAAAGTTAGTTACAAGCATAAAAAAGATCAAATACTGAGAGTGCATTAAGGATAATTTGGGTTTGGAATCTCATTTTTAGGAATCTCCCATACTTTTTAGGGACTCTCACTGCTGTGGATGCGACTGTGCTCCAGGATATCCGTGTTTTGCATGGGCTCCAGGTCAGTTTCTGAGATGATCTCGGCCAGCCATTGCTCAATCTGCACGGGATGGAAGGAGTCCTCATCCCCACTGTTGGCCTCAAGTATGATCTTTAGATTCTCAAAGTTCTTGAGGATCAGCCGCTTGCCGGGCTGTAGCTGGGGACCCAAGGACTCGCTGCTCTGCGTTATAGTTGTAGTGGAGACGGGCTCCTGTTTGGAAGGTGCCGATTCCTGGGGATTGGAGTTGGCATCGCAACTGGAATCGGCGGCAACAGCCTGAACAGGTTCCGCTGAGACCTGGTGACAGGTTCTGCGCGGCTTCTCCACCATGCTCTTCTTGATTTCGTTGAGCAGACGATTGTAAAAGTCACAGGTCACGTCGCGTATGTCTGTCTCCTCGTAGCGTTGACTCTGACCCGGAGTGGGAGTGGATTCCGAGCTGGGTTCTCGCTCAATTCGCTCCTGTTTCTTGGTGGCCACCTTCTGCTTCTTGGACTGCGAACGCGAGCTGGCGTTGCTGGAGTAATTCGAACTGGAGGCGGTGGTCGTGGGTGTGGAGTTCGAGTTGGATGGTTCGGTGGTGATGCTGGAATCGGCGGACTTGGCCAGTGGTATCTCCGCGCTCACGGCCTCTTCGTTGGCGCAGTTGATGGTCAGGCTGGCAATGTTGCGCAGATTAATGGTGCCATTGCAATTGTTAATGGTAATCTTTGGCTTGAAACGCTGCTTTCGGGTCTTCTTCTGCGGCTCCTGGACGCTGCCCTTGGACTTGGCCGAGGTTTCGCGACCCAAACTCGAGACGGCCTCAGCAATGGAAGACTCCAGTTCATCGTCCAACTCTTCCAGGTTCAATGGCGGCACATAGGTTTCCCTTTTGATCTTGGCCTTTCTTATCAGCTCCTTGGCCTCCTGCAGTGTGATATTTATGATGGACCTCTTGGCATTTTCCTCTACCAGAGTTCGGTTACGCGAAAAGTCCACAACTATGGCCTCTGGCGGGGCACCGTCCTCATCCAGGTCGTAGTAGGCAACATTCCCGTCCTGCAGGCACTTGTACATCGTCTCGTGGTCGTCGAGGGGCTCAATGTAGTCCTCATTCCGCAGGCCCGCGGTGCGGTAATCCTGCAGCGCCAGCTGCATGTCACTGTTGTCCAGCAGGAAGTGACCGTAGCTACGAATGGCGGTCAGCAGCTTCTCCTCCACGTCGTCATCGTCGTCGGCGCCTCCCTCGCCAGCGACGAACCTCACGCCACTTTGCTCCTTCTCCGGTTGGGTGCTCTCCTTCACCAGCTGCTGCTGCTTCCGGGTGTTTGCTATGACCTCCAGTTGCCGCAGCAGCAGCTTCTCTCGCATATGCAGTGCCGCCCGGATTTCATTGAACTTTTTTTGTACGATGCTTTTGACCTGCAGCGGGGGCGTGGGCGTGGAAAAGGGCGACGGCGCGGAAAACAACAATGATTAGGCGATGAATTCGCTGAGAGTATGTTCTATAAACTCACCTCATCCAGATTTTTGTCCATTTCGCGGGCTAATCAATAAATACTTTCTCTTTCTAAATGCAGCGCATTTTTTCCTTCAATTCTTGTGTATAAATTCTTTTTGTTTGATCGATCAGCTGCTCTCTGGGACAGTGTTGGGAAAATGGCGTTTTTATCGATAAAACTGGCTTGAATGGCGACTCTGTTACTCTCATGTTAACATGCACGGACGATCTGGCAACGCCGCGACCAAAAGTACCAGATCGTCCGTTGATGAGGTAATTTTACTTTGTTTTGACATTTTACTTTTACACGGACGATCTGGTACTTTTGGTCGCTCATGCACTGACGATCTGGTACTTTTGGTCGCTCATGCACTGGCGATCTGGCAACTCTGGTCGCTCGTGCCATTAGCGACCAGCGTTGCCAGATCGCCAATGCATGAGCGACCAAAAGTACCAGATCGTCCGTTGATGAGGTAATTTTACTTTGTTTTGACATTTTACAATATTTATCGTAATCGAATATGTATCGAGCCTTTTTTATTTATCATTCGATTTAATTAAAATTAAGACCGAAATTTTAAAATAATAAAAAATGTTCATATCGGAGATAAGCAAAGCTATATTTTTTTTAATATTAATTTTTTTATCGTAGTTTTGAACGTTTACTCATGCTAAATATTAATTATATGCATGCTAACTATAAATGAAAACTAAAAAAATATAAAAAAATTTAAGAATTTAAAGAAAATTAAAGTTGATTTTTTAAAATTAAATTAAATAGTATTTCATTGTCGATTTTCACGAAATAAAGAGGAAAGGTAAAGCATTTAAAAATAGTTATTTAAATTTATAGTGCGTCTAGAAAAACATACTAATTTTTAGGCATTTTGTAAAAAAACTTTTAATAATTTGGCCCTAAATCGAACCGTTTGTTGATTCGATTAAAAAATACACTTTGAATTGCGCGGCATAGTAGAGAGGTGATGGGTGGTGAGGCGGTGGGTGGTGGTGAGGTCGTATGAAGGCAGTATTCGTATTCGTAGGGTATTCGTTTCAGCGTTCAGGGTATTTCAGTTCGTTAGTTCAATTTTAGTAGCGAGTCGGAGAGGTTCTGTGCTGCGCGTTGGTTTAAAACAAAACTGTTTGTCCCGACCGATTTAATATTTTATACTTGAAATTAAAAATAAAAAAAAATACAAGAAATTATTATTTAAAACCAGCTTTTTTCTTAGATTTTTTACGTTGAAATTAGCTGTTTATTTTGAGTAATCCCGCTTTTATTAAACAATTTCAAGCCTCTCGCCGCGTGTGTTTTAAACAATAAAAGAAAATATGGAAAGCAGGCGGTAGCTGGCCATATCTTTTGCCGTTGTCAATTGTAAAAAAACAACAAATAATATATAGTAAATCGAATTATTCCGCGATTTTTGCTTCGTTCCGGGCATTTGTTTTTATATAAATTCTTTACGCCTCTGCCGACGGAAAAAGTGCGCCAATTCGCGTTGCAATAAAAACAAACATTAATGGGAAATTAACAATGCGACGAGATTTTTGGTTAAATTGAAACAAAACAAATCGAAAAGTCGCCGCTTCCACGTACACTCAGCTGTCATTGTCTTTGCGCTCTGCCGTCTCTTTCCCCCGCGTCGCGCCGCCTCAAGTGTTTGATTTTTCAGTTGTTTTTGTTGCTGTTTTTATTCGGAACTGTGCCATGTTTGTGTTTTTGTTCAATTCGCCTTCAATTTGTTACATTTGTCGCGTGGCTTTTCGAAAAGAACGAGGGAAAAAGGCGAAATGCTCCAGTGTTTAAATAACAATCGACAGTCAGCGTTTATTGTTGTTGCCTCCGACTAATTTGAGCTGTGCTAGTGTGCGAGTACGTTGGAATGTGTGTTTGTGTGTGAAGGCGCGCTGGCAGTTGTGTTTGTGTTTGTGATTGCGTGTTGTTGTTTTTGTTTCCCTCTCGCAGGCAAAGAAATATTCGAAAAAAATATGTGCATTTCTCAGAGAATTTGACTTTGTTTCTCGTTTGTGCAGGAGCGAGCGAGACAGAGCGAGACACCGCACGGAAAAAGAAGCAACAAACAGAACAAGAAACACACATGCAGAGCAACAAAAGAAACAGGCAAATAAAGAGAGCAAGAGAGCGCGACGGTGACGCCAAAAATTTAAAAAAATCCATAAAGCCTACTGCTGGCTACACTCTATGTTTGCCATTTGCTTTGAATTAAAGTTGTCAACTATATTTAATTGGATCGAACGTGCTGTGTTTTCTATTCCCTACGGATTGTTTCACTTTGCTGTGTTTGCCTTTTACGGCTTTGCTTGAGTGTGAGTGCGTCTGTCGAGACTGTCTTTGCAAATTGTCTTTGCATCGGCGGGTCGTTGATTTTTTGTTATTTTCATTTCATTGAATATTCCACCAATGTGTGTGTGTGTGTGTTTGCGGCTACATGTGCTTGCGATTGTGATTTGTTTAAAGAAGAAATACAGTTAGACTTTTCGCTTTCTGGACAAGCCTTTTGTTGTTGTTGTTAGTGTCTCTAGCTTTCCGGTTTGTCCTCCTTCTTTCTCTCTTTTTATCCGTCTTTCCCTCTGCCCTTTAGTTTTCGTTTCCATCTTGTTATCATCGAGAAACTGGTTTTTCCTTAGCCTCAGTTTTGTTTTTGTCTGTGTTTTTTACCTAGTCTCTCTGGCTTTTAAATACGAAATTACCTCATTTTACACCTCGAACTCGGGCTCCAGCTCGGTGCTTTTTATTTAGGCAGTGCGACTAACTCACGCACGCAGGCCCATTAAATTAAATCATTTTTATTCCGCCTTGTATTAGTAGGTCGTTGAGATGTTATTAAACTTTTTGTGGAGTTCAAATGCTAAGGTTGTTTACTGAAAATTCAGGTCTTAAAAAACTCACATAAAGTAAACCAAACAAATTTGAAATTTGAGAAGTACATAAAAATATATGAATATTTAAATACTCTTTGCAATAAATATAATTTATAAAAAATTGTATTTAATAAAGTGATCAAATTCCTTGCCATTTCAGCTTTGAAATACCCAAATCCAAACTGTTTTTATATTAATGAAGTGAACCAAACCAATATAATCCGTGAAACTTATTCTTATAAACTACAAAAAACCCGGGTCGTTCTTTTATAAACCAAAAAAATTAACTTAAAATCTACAAAGAAAAAATCTATAAAAATATCTAAAAACAAACCTATATTTTAATGCGTGTAATTGACAAACCTGCAAGTATTTAATCATCATCGAAGGCGAATGTCGAAAAGTGTTCCGAGGTCAATGTTTCTCTGTTTCAACTGCTGGCAACAACTCATCGCTTAAATTAAATACACAATCTGCAGCCGAGGTGAGTTTTATTCAGTTAAACTTATGTATTTGCCATTGTCGTGTAACATTCCCCTGACCCTGGCCCCGCTTTTTGGAGTACTATTTCGAAATACCGCCGCCCACTTGTATTTGCCCCATTGAGGGCTACGTACGGGTATTCATAGACGAGACCCAGTTAGTAACTCTCATTGTGTGAATTTGTTTACTTGCGATATTGCCGATAATGTGCGATGAGTAAGTTCAATACAAGTGGGCTACGATGTACACGAAAGCCCATCGATAATGCGGTTAAAAATTAACAGATATCAGTATTATCGTTGGCAAATAAATATTCCACGAACAAGGGAACTATTTACTGGGTAAATATCTATTTGCAAGGGGAATTTATGTAACTAATTGGTTATCTCGGTTTAATAGTTGTAAGCTTTTAAAAAAGTATATACAGAAAATGGTTGGATTATAAAGATTTATTTTAAAGATGTGTACAAATCTGGATTCTCTATTATTTTGTGACTATATTGTAAGCCTTTTAATGAAATTCCAATCTAAACAACATTGTTCTTGATCTTGTGATTCATTTCTACTCAAATAAAACTGTAGTCATTACTATTTTATCATGTTGTTAGACAACTTTTAATGCATATATTTATTCTTGTCTAATAACTGTGAGATAGTCGGCATACAATTATTTCCGCAAAACGTTAATTTAATATTTATATGTATTTTTCTACCAACTTTCTTGTTTTAAGCTCAAAAAAGCAATTAAAAAAAAAGAATGCTCAACAATCTTTTTGTTAAATTCTTTAAAACCCCAAAAATTCCATTGCATAAAATTACAATTTCCATTGAGTTCTTTGTTGCAAAGAGATAATTAATGTGTATTAACGGCTTTTGGCACTTGATGTGGGAAAGCGAAAAGGTATTGCTTTTGTTCGCCGATTTTAATAAGTTAATTTCACACGCGTTATAGAGTTCCCATTGATGATTTCAGACTGAAATGGTATTGAGTGGCAGTTATTAAATCTACTGTAATTACGAATTTTAATGCAATTAATCCGAGTTCCGAAACGATTGTAATCGAGAACGAGCTTTAACAATTGCAAATCCAATTGTAGGAGGAGAATTCAGAGCTCCTCAGTTCAGTGGATGTATAAATTCATTACTCGGCTTTAATTAGTTTCAATTTGCACAACGCCATCAAGAGATACCATCCATCGAAGGGGTCAAGGGGGGTAAATAGAATTTTCCTCTTGTCAGTCGTTTTTCCGAAAATTATTTTGCCGTTTTGCACAATCAAATTGAATGAACAATGTGCAATATTTTGATTCACACACAGTAGTTTTTGGCAAAAATAAATTAGAAATATGCATGGCCGGTTGGTCAGAGTTTAATTGTAAATAACTACTGGTCAAACATAAGGAAAACAAATTTTGTATTTATATGCATTTAATTGTAAGCTACTAGCTTTTACCAGTGAAATATTTTGCAATAACTTTTGGTGTGCACTTGTGCTCTCTGGTCTCTGATATTTAATCCGCATTGCAAAGTGGCTTTCGAAATGTTTGCCAATTGCAGCAGACTTTTGACTTGTGAATTTTTATTACTGACCCCCGTGACACTCCAATTTCCTCCTCAATTTTCCCCTGGAGAGCCAAACAATTTGCATAACAAAAGCCGCTTAGCTTGTCGAGTGCTGGCGGCGTCGGTATATTTTTGTATTCATGATTGATGGGTCACATACATATATAGCATATATAGCATACAGCATATAGCATACAGCATATAGCATACAGGATATACCATATAGCATTA